TTTTAACAGTCTACAAATTGAAGTTCTTTCTCATATAAATACTTTTAATTCAAGCAGTAATGTATTTTTTAACATTATAATATTTTTCTGTTTGGAACACACTGTATATACGAAGGAAAGAAATAAATTAACTTCACATCTACATTTGTTCATTTAAAAGACTCCTATTTACAATGAAGCCTATTTAAAGATTATTATTATTATTATCTTTTATTTCTGTCTACCGTCACGAAAATTTTCAATAAAACAATAACAGCAAATGAGGAAAATGTTACTTTTTTGCATTTCATGTAAGCAATTTTATCTATTGCTATTAAAGAAGACGGAAGATAACGAAGAAAATAGCAGAAAATTGGTATTTCCTATACCTGTGACAAGCTACATTCCACATGAATATTTGAGGAATAGAATAATTGAAGCTCATCTCAAATTCACCTCAACCTCTTTCAAACGTGTGTGTCATTAGAATCAAGAAAAGAAGTTTCAGTCACCTTATTTAAAACATGGTAAACATATTTAAAAATATTCTAAAAATTCAATTAAGTGAATAAATGTTATTTTCAAAATAATCATAGCATGTGTACAGCTTCCACAGAATTTAATAGAAATGTCTGAAGAACATTACTATTTATTTTAAACTTATCAGTTTATTTTGCAAATTAAGAATCAAACGTAAGTAAAATACAAATGTTTTAAACAATAATTTCTAATACAGCGAATTTTTTTATTATATTGCCAATATCACTGAAAAATGCTCAAGTGTAATACTGTCCCATTTGAGTATTACTAAATACAATTAATGGGGCGAATATACGGATTTTTAAAGATATTCAATGAAATAAATGAATCCGCTTAAATGATGACTAGCTTGAAGGTAACAAAGTGAAGAAACACGTAGCTACAATAAAGAAGAGATCTGATTTGATTAGGTTTTCGATGTACTACTATTTAGGCCAAGGATATCCAAGACTTTAATTATTGATTCCAAACAGCGTGAAAGTTTTTGTATGTCATATAAATCCTCACAGTAGTTTTTAAATAAAGCAACGATGAATCCTTTCACAATGATCAAAAACTTCTTGCTAACTATTTTTTTGGGTCTACTTACTTAAACACATTAACATTAAGCTAATAAAAATCTAATCTCGATTCTACATTCAGCAATACAAGAAGAATAACTAATTTATTAATAATTTCATTATATATATATGCAAGATAAAAAATATGAAAGCAAAATTCGAAATTTAATTCACTGTAGCCTATTTTATTTTTTATTTCATTTGGAAACTTCATCTCTCTGTCCTAAAAATAGCGCTGTAAGTCTAAACTGCGTCCTTCAAATTAATCCTGCGATCTTACGTAACCCTTAATGCAGATGCCTCTTGACCAATCACCAAATTGTAAACCAAAACTAAAAACTGAATCTTCTGATTCCCTCCCTTCTTTTCTATGAACTGATGCGTCACTTTTGCTTGTGCTTTAGTCTTGGACAGACGCCTTTCAGCAATCATATATGTACTGCTATATTTGTATCTATGGCAATAATAATCAAAATTGTAAATGTTCTTTAATAGGCACGATTAGAGTGCCAAGTGAATTGTGGCCACAAAATGGGAATTTAAATAAATAAAAGAAATTTAATCTGGCACGACTGCTGCTTCTTCAAAAATGGATGGACGCTCTAAGCATCAAGTATCTACGCCATCAGTATTTTTGCGCATTTACGTCTCGGTGTTCTTATTTCAGTGCTTCCAATATTGTACTGTCATTACATTCTTCGGCCAGTTGTAATTATGAAATCTACACGGGTTTGTTAAGCTAGCTTCACGTGAATCATGGGAAAAGTCCTGTTTCACCGAAAATTTTAATGCAAGTTTGTACCGCATTCACGATCAACTCATTCATGTCATGTCATCGTACCACAGTTTCATTACATGTATATATGAAACTACTGATATATATGAACATCTTAATAATACGTAAAGAATTAGTGTCTATTATATGTTCGCACATTAATAAGGTCCAAGATACATTAATGGGCAAAATTTATGAAAGAAAAATTTTATTTTTAATCTCAATTGAAAATATTCTTGCATTGTGTTCTAGTAGTGAAAAGTGAGTGGGTTAAGAAAGTAAGGTCAACGCCAGAGCCGATGTAACTTTCGCAACCGCACCGGGCAGCAAAAGTTTTAAAATTTATGAAGGAATCGGGCGGCAAAAAACCTAGCATCGGTCCTACAAATAGGTTATTCGGAAATCTCGAATTCGACTCCAGACGAAAGCATAGTTTGTGTAACTTCATTTTATCTATATAAACTAATCAAGAGCATTTCAATTCTTCAAGTGCAGTTCTGAGTATCTAACACTTTTCCCGCTTTCATTTCTGCTTCATGGCATTTTTTCCTGAAATATGTGAAGAACAGAACAAGAAGAGGAGCAGATCTTAGTTGACTAACGCTATTTTTTGCTACATGTGTGACTGGCGTAGGGATTTCGGAAGAGCTACTATTAAAAGGCTTTCAATTTAGGTGGGAGAGAGGAATTTGCCTATTTATTAAGATCAGCTCCATTTGATTTAATTATTTCGTAGAGTTTGTGTGAAATATGTTACGTTAGTTACGCATGCTATGTTAGTTAATTTCTTCCTCCAGAGCAAAAGCTATATCTGCATAAAAACCACACAATGAAGCATTTACCTCTCATGCAAGAAGGGAATGATGATGTTGTTTCTTAACAGTGCTACATAATTCTCGACTGTGAGGAAAATAGCTCAAAGCGTATCTCTGTTGACTTCGTCAAAAGAAAAAGGGGCCTAAAGATAATGACGGCGTAAATTCACACTACTCTGTCATACTTGGCAGATGCAGAGGTGTTTCCTTAATCGCCTGTTGGACTTTCCTCTCACCTAGATGCAACAGTTACAAGCATTTACAATTTAATTCAGCGAAAAAGGCACTTCCTTAGTCCGTAGGACATTTGACAATCGGTTGGCATTGCTTCCAATCAGTTAAAAATTATAATAGCCATTAAAAAGTCCAATTTAGAAATTCATGCCGTCTGTCAAAATCAGTTGATATCAGTCATTGTGGGTCGGATTTGGGAAGGATATAGCTTGAGGATGAGCTTGTAGAGACATTAGGTATTTTTTGGAAGCAGGCAAGATGAAAAATGAGCAACGCCTTCGCCGGGAATCGAACCGTGGACCTCTGGAATACCCGCCCAGCGTGCAGAAACACTACACCACGAAGGCAAGCTAGGAAGGCGGGAGAAATAGCTTATAAGCCTAAGTGACGTCACACAATGTTTTACAAAATGCCTCTACAAAGCCACTTGAAGAAGAACATTATAGCTATTCTGACACGTACACGCACACAAATTCTTTATTAGAAAGCATCCTATAACCTTCTGTACATTTCTGTGAAAACCGCAAGGTGCTACAGGTCTCTACGTTTTGAATTATCGAATTTTTACTTTTGGTGTTGGTGTTGGTGTTGGTGTATTTAATTATGGCAAAGCACACTAGGGCTAAGGGGAGGGATGCCCCTGAAAGCAACCAGTTTTGTATTCCCACACTGCCTAATGGGAGGGATGCCTTCGTGGAGGACTTTCTAAGGGAAACTGGCTCGTATACATGTTACACATGGGGAAAACCACGAAAACACCCATGCAGCCTGCCCGTTCGTGAGATTCGAACCTTGGACCGAACTACCATTATTCAGCGACTTTTACTTTTAGACTATACGGAGTGTGTATATGCCGAGCATAAATATAAGTATATTGTTAACAGTTTCTATAGTTTGCCGCCAGATCGCGTTATGGCCATTCAAAAGCAACTGGAATAGTGTAAACGAAATATATAAGAATGTGAAAAATATAAAAGTAATATTCGAAAATTACGCGCATGTTCTGAGTCGGTTTAAATCTGCTTCAGAAACTTTTGGTCAAGAAATATAAAGTGTTAATCAGCTATGACTACATCTGCATCTTTGAGACTCTCGAATTTGTCCCCAGGATGTTCTGCATCCAAACTGGGGCGGTGTGCATTTGGTAAGGATAAACTATACACATACAATATTGGTGAAATTTTTTGGTACCGCCTAATTCTTCCTATCCTGCCATAATTTTACGCGCAATCTCTGTCATCCTATAACCTATGTCCTCCTCATCCAAATTTTATTATTATTATTATACATACATATAGCAATAAATAAATACACTACAAATGAAGAAGTTCTAAACCAATATCAAAATATGCGCTGTGAGCTACAATAACTGGTCGTAATATGGTAAAATTAAAAATTTAAATACAATATATGTACTGGATATGTATTTGATTTAAGTGTTTTTAATTTTTACAGTATATATACACATATATATAATGAACTTTTTCTAAGGGCGAGTACCCATAATTCCCTATAATTACCGACTTCTGTAGAATTGGTCTTCTTACGAAGGGGCTGTTCGACATCTGTGTTTATTTATACCTTAGAAAAACTGGTTACTTTCAGGGGCAGACGTCTTAGAGTGTTGGCTGCACTCTTTCTCATTCTTTCCATATATCTATATATTTTTTAAAATATATATTTTTAAATCTAATATATTTTTTAAAAATAAAAATCAACCAAATTTTAAACAACCGTTTAGCTTTTAGTTTTTATCACCGTAGATTCAACATGCAGATAAAATATCTTCCTTCTTTGTGCAAGAAATTTAGTAGAACCTGCGTGCAAAATTAAATGAATTGAAACTCAACAGTAATATAATATATTCAGAAATATTAATAACAACGTGTAAGTCTCGATTTGCTTTCAGAATCATCCAACGAGTAAGCAGACTATAATGTTTACGGCGTTTCTTGTTTAAACGATCATTCATCTTTCTCCTATTAACTTTTAAAGGTGCCCGTCTGACATAAACAAACCGGTTGGCATTTTCTTAGTAATTTCTTGAATGGAAATGAATCCACCTTCATTGCCTTATAAGGAGAGATGTCTACTCACATGTCTGGCGCAATAACACAAGCGAAGGTCTCTGGAAGATCCCGGGCCATCAGGGCGCAGGGGCCTGCTAGGGAATCCGGTACACATACTCGGACAGCTGAAAGTAAAAACGATAAAAGAAAGTCAGAAGTTATTTTTTTGTAACGCGCACAATAAATTTTCAAAATAATAACAAAACGAGTGAGGCAATTTTCTATTTTAAGCATTCTAACCATTATTTCATTTCTACAGCACGGTATTGTATTTTATCCTCTATATCGTACTATTGTATTCTGTATTATTATACTTTTATTCCCACATTTTAAATTCCAATAGAAACGTAAAGTAGTTCAGTATTTCTTACGTGATATCAGATCACGATTACAAGCATAATAATCGTGATCTGATGCTACGAAGTGGAAATTTTTATCCAGTGCTCTACATTTCTATTGAAAGCCATTAACTTCAACAAGAAAAAGAAATTTTCATTTTCTGATTTCTCATACTGTATTAAAATATAATTTTTTAAAATAAACGCTTGTTTTCTTTCTTTTCTTAAAACATAAATTTGTTAACCTTTTCAAAAATAAATTTTAAGTTTTTTTTATCTGATATGACATTGATCCCATAACTCTTGAGTTCGATTCCAGGTGCAGGCGTCATGAAATTTATGCTAATTTCCCCTCCAAGAAGTCTACATGATATAACATTATAAAGTGTAAGAATATCAAAGCCGAAGCTATTGCCCTTTTCAAAAAGGTAAGCTAATATTTTATTTTGAAGAAATTTATGCAAAAAGGAAATGAGCACTGAAAATATTACATAAAATACCAATGTAAAGAAAGCGCCTTAATCTATACTCATTCCCCTCCATATCCAGAAAGCTTGTGGTCAAAAGTTCTTAGATAGAGATAAAAAGGAAGACATTAAAGCAAAAATGAAATCAGTATAGAATGCAAACCATTAAATAGGAACAAAAGGACAAAAAGTTATTAAGTTCGTCAAGCAGCTCTTTTCCAGGAATAAAGAATGATGCCAGACAAGGCACTACACGAAACAATATGAAGGCTATAAGGCTATTCATACAAAGGAATTGTAGAAAAAACTCATTGGAAGGTCGCACCACCGGCCGAGCGGAGAAGTCGCTGAATGCTGGTTGTTCGACCCGGATTCAAACCCAGACGAACTGGTTAGCCACAAGAGCGCTTAAAAACAACAAATTAAATTCTCTGAAATGTAGTTTTTGCGATACATTACAACTTTATACTAATCTCAATATTTTTCTTATTTAAAATTATTGTGTTTTTATATTCGAAACGATTTAGGAAAAAATTAGATCCGGAAAACACCAATATTATTAAAGTTTAATTTTAAATCTTAAAAGCATTACTGAGTAAAGTCAAAGTAGTAGAAGAGGTTCTGTGGAGGCTGCTCATGCAGAGAACTTCCTGGAGAAACTTCTTGGAAGTTCTTTGTTTCATAGTTGCGTCCCCACAAAAAGGACATGATGGTTTAGAGATAAATTCAAATCGAAATATTTTTCGATTTTTCATTAATTTATGATATATCTATGTTTGTTTCATTTTTTTTCTTTGAGGAAGAATTTTTTTTTTAAAAAAAAATCCTTCTATAAGAAAAAAAAATGTTTTCCTAACACTTAGAAGAAAGTACGTATATGTACATTATTGAATAAATTACATCAAACTACACTTTCTGTTGACCTAAGATAATCAATCGACAAGCATGACCGCACATTATCTGTAGCTTATCCTTTCTGTTCTATTTACTTGATACACGCAGATCAGAACTGTTTACTTAGCATTATTTTTAATTTTTAAGCCGAACACAAATTCTAAAAACAAATTTCAATGATATTTGTGGTCTTTCTTGTTTGTAACTTCAGTTACTGCTTGAAAGTGTTGGGAAGTGAGGGAACTCTCCTACAATGAAAAGAATAAATTTCATAGATTTTATTCTTACTCCTGTTACTTCTTTTACATGAAGAAACAATTTCAATAAAATTTGACTTTAAATTTCAGTTTATAATTTACAAAAATTCCAGAAATGTAACTGCTTTTCTAATGTAATTTTGCTAGAACGCCTTTCATTTGCTTAGCCCACTTACTGCCTTACTTGCTATAAGAATTGCAATGTATTTTCATTACTAATTTATGAAATTATGATAACATTTAGCACTTTGCTATTATCGATAATACACTATTTCTATTAATTTTTAGCCCAGCAGAGCTATTAGTATCCAACGGCATGAATCACTAAAAGCGTTGTATCACTTTTGAAATTGTTGCCACCAAATATTATCACCCTGTATTACATTTAAAGTTAAATAATGAAGAATCTGCATGAATGTAGGTATGTTTCTCGCACTCTGCCTACAGCCATCAAATGTTGAATAAAGTGATCCTCTACCCGAATATGAGCACCTGGAATTTCTAATTCGTTTTAATATCTGATTCATATTATGTAAAACTTTAACGTATTTTTTATTCACAAACTGAACAATTTCGAAGCGAGAAATGGCAACACTATACGAAAAAAAAACAAAAAAAAAACAACATTTTTATCTTCAATGCGCGAGACTGTCTATTGGTGCTATGCTGTTTTTAAATATTTTTAGCCCAAAGAGACATTAGCCCAAATGCTTTCGAAACGTGTACGTGTGCGTAAATTTAAAAAAAAAAAAAAAAAAAAAAAAAAAGCCCCTTTGGGCATAATACAAAATCTAAAAGCGCAGATTTTTTTTTTTTTTTTTTTTTCCTGTAAGAAGTTTGGAGTACATGATCAATATTAAACACTAACCATTACTGGATAACTGCAAGTTCACTATCCTGCACAAACTCCTGCAGTGGCAAAATAAAACAGAAATGCGTAATCGAAGCAAAAGACACCATTCCTCTTTTTAAGAATTTAAACTAAAATCAAATAACTCAGCTAAACATCTAATTTTACAACTATCATTGAACACTGTATCCCAAAATAAATCAGTTGTTGACTTATGTATACAAATACGAATTGTCTAATAAAACTTTACGAACTTTCTATGCATACATAATTAAACATATTTCGAATACGAAAATAAAATGTTTTTTAAAGGATTTCTTTCTTTGGTAAAAATTTTATAATTTTTTCCAAACTTAAACTATTATCCGCATAATTCTGCTCACATTGTAGAGACATTAGGTATTTATTTATATATTTATTTATTTATTTTTTTTGGAAGCAGGCAAGATGAAAAATTAGCCACCGCATTTGCCGGGAATCGAACCACGGACTTCTGGAATACCGGCCCAGCGTGCATAACCACTACACCACGAAGGCACGCTAGGAAGGCGGGAGAAATACCTTACAACATAAATGCCCAAATAATTTTACAAGTCGAACAAATACTATTTGCGTAGAAGTTGTTTATTAGTATAATTAACAACGAGAGAGCGGATTAAAAAGCAAATTTATGGATTCCTGTTATACGTAGAAAGAAACGAAAGAGCAGGCATAACAATCAAATAGCAAAAGGATACTTCTATATTAAAAAAAAAAAAAAAAAAACTGTTGTGTTGAAAATTACAGATAAGATTTTTTTTAATTATACACAGAATTCCATATTAATTTAAATGTAATTTTAAACAGAAAATTGGGACTGCGTCTGCTTTCGAAGGTTGCAGTTAAACATTTCTTAATAAATAACAAGAATTTGAAAAAATCCAAAATAAAATTGCATTTAAAATAAATGAAAAGACGGGAAAGATGTTAGGTAAAAACGTATTCTGAATACTACAATGGAATAGATAAGGAAGTGCTTAAAAAAAAAAAAAAAAAAAAAAAAAATTAAGCTGTATAGCGCTACGCAGTTAGAGACAAAACTTACGATTAGGAAGTAAATGAAAACATAAAAACAATATATAAAGATGTCGTAAAGGAATATATGTGAAAAGAAAAAAAAAAAAAAAAATAGAAGAAATTATCAAACTGCTTAAATGGATTAGAAATCCGCGACTGGAGAGGGATAACATAAGTAAAAAAAAAAAAAAAAAAAAAAAAAAAAGCACGCATACATGCAAGTGTTTTTTCAAAGCGAAAGATTTTACAAATAAATCAAAAGACTTATTTGGGAGAAAATGAGCTTTTGAAGAAAGAATAAAAAAACAAAAAAAAATTTAAAAAAAGTCTGAAAGTTTTTCAGATTTTATATTGCGCCCAAAAGAGCGGTTTTATTTAACGTTTTGTGTGTTACCTCTATTATTAAACTTCATGTTCTTCTCATTCAAACCATAAAATTAAATCCAACAGTAATATCACAAAATATTTAAAAAGAGCCTATCTGTAGAATTCCGATACGACGAGTCTCGCACGTTGGAGATGAAAATGTTTTTCTTTCGCATACTGTTGCCATTGTTCGCTTTGAAATTGTTGAGTTTGTTAGTCAAAAATTCGTTAAAGTTTTACAAAATATGTAATAGAGAATGAAACGAATTCCAAATTTCAAATTTTGTTTTTCACATGCTCATATGCGAGTAGAGGATTAAATTCTTTAAAATTTGATATCTCTAGGTGCCGTTGTTTTTTCACAACGCGAGAAACATACATGCATTCACGGAGATTCTTCATTCTTTAATTTCTTTAATGCAGGACGATAATATTTGGTAGCAACAATCTGAAAAGTGACATGCACTTTTATAATGGATGGCATAAAAATGGCAAAAAGAAATTAATAGTCCTTCTGAGAAAATTGCCCGTTTGGGCCAAAAAAATTCTTTTTAAACATCAAATTACGAATGAAAGTTACTGCACTATAGAAAAAAATATTTTAACATTACTAATAGAAGAAAAATTAATTACTACTTATATCTTTAACGTATAATATTTTAACATCGAAAAAAATGCTTGGCTTAATAATTCTAATACCAATTATTTGGATGCAGCGATATTAAAATATTTTTATGACGGCGAAAATTAAACTACTCCTGAAGCAAGTAAATATAATCTAAACAGCTCTTACTCCTTTAAATAAATAAATCTAAATCCTTCAAAACTATATCTAAATAACTTTTACTCACGTGATGAATGCACGATTGAAATGACTCCAAACAATAACAGAAACATCTTGAGATCTGTACTTCATCTAAACGCTCCAGCAGGTTTGTCTTAAATAACCTCTCATGGGCGCTTCCTATTGGACAAAGTTTGTTTGACGTCATGAACAGGAAAACCAAGATTCCGAGTATTCGAACAGCTTCCGATTTGCAGTGAAAGATTTCAGAAGCTAAAATAAAAGTTCCTTTGGGATAAAAATAAATTTGAATGTGCAAATTTCACTTTAACCTTTAGCCTAAGACTCAAGTTACACATATAAAAATCACTTCAAATTTCGCATTAATTTGCTTGAATTAGTTGTAAATTATTTTTTTTTAAATCGCAGTCATTGAAGAAGTTCACAAAATTATTTTTTGTTGCTTAATTTTTTACATGGGGTTATTTAGCTTGGTTTCTCTGCCTATTTGGCTTGAATCTTGATAATTAATGTCTGACCCCCTATAATTAGAATGATTTTCTTGAAATTTTGCCTGTCGTATTTACTATGAGAATAAAATATTCTATGCATTTCCTCCACTTTTCTTTTCAAAATTTGGTAAAGAAATTTTTTTAATGTCGAAATTTTCTTAAATATCCTTGTTTGGAGATTAAACTAATCAACGCAAATCTTCGACTTTTGTATTATCAACGCGAGACCAAAAAAATAATCTTTTAAATGAAACTTTTCCGGAACATTCGATCTAATTTAATGAATTGTAGCATTTTTTCAACAACTGGTCGAATTTATTAAATTTTTCACCGTAAGCCTTATAAGATATTTCTTCCGCCGTCTTAGCATGCCCTCGTGGGATAATGGCCAGCACACTCGGCGCGTATTCGAGAGGTTCGAGGTTCGAGTCCCGGCGAGAGCATTGCTCATTTTTCACATCTTCCTGCTTCGAAATAACCTAATATGTCTCTACAGCGTCTGCAATCATAAGTTTTTAAACTGAAGTTTTAATCTGTAACTGTTATCAGGTCATACTACTTTTAATAATGACGAGATAGTATTTTTATATTAAACAAAAATGTAAATGAATTGAATTCATTTTTACACCATTGGATAAATAGAAAACCATGAAAAAGAGAAGATAAAGTTACATACTTCGTTTCTATTTTAATTAAGGAGAATAATTTTCCTACATCCAGAGGCAGTGATTTTCACACTTTATTCTTATTTCGCCTCCTTTGAACTAAAAATATATAATGAAATAGATATTAAAAATATTAAGTTACATTTCTTGAAATCAAAGAACTGAAACGTGCAAAGTATAGCTATCTCAGCTTTCTGATCGTATATGACTGAAGGTGAAATCATCAGATGGCCGCAAATGGAATCTACTGGGCAATAACAGAATATTAAGAAAAAATAGAAATCACAGTACAGAAAAATAAAAATGATACATTCATTTTATTTAAATTTTTCTTTGATAATTTTCATTTAATATATATTCATTGATAGCAAGGCAGGATTTTATTTTTAGCCACCAAGCACGCTGTAATAACTTAACCGTGATTTTTAGCTCAAAAGAAGCAATTAAACTCGAACGTCGTTTCACTTTTCATTTCAGTCTATTGCCATTCTGCAAAACGTAAAATATTTATTTTTAGACCAAAGGAGCTTTGTCCCTGAGGGACTATTGTTTTCCTTTTGCGATTTTAGGTTGAAACACTATAAATGGCTGTATCACTTTCAGACTGTTGCCACCAAATATTATCGCACTGTATTATATTTGAAGAAATTAAATAATGAAGAATCTGCATAAATGTATTCACGTTTCTTACATTGTGATAACACAACGGTACCTAGTCATCAAATTTTGAATGATTAATGACGTAATCCTACTGCGAAGATGGGCATCTGAAAGCCCAGATTTGAAATTTGGAATTTGTATTATTATCGATTTCATATTTTGTAAATCTTTAACGAATTTTTGATTAATAAACTCAAGGATTTCAAAGCGAGAAATGGCAACGTTGTACAGAAAAAAACTTTTATCTCCAACGCGGGAAACTGCGTATCGTAAATTCTAAAGATATGCTCAATTTAAAATTTTTTTTCGATGTTGATGTTGAACTGAATTTTATGGTTTAAATGCGAAGATCTTGATATTTAATAAATAAAGATAACACACAAAATGTTTAAAAAAACGCTCCTTTAGGCGTAATTGAAAATCTGAAACCTTTCAGATTTTTGTTTTCAAATTTAATCTGTCTCTTCGTATTAAGAAATTATGTTATTTGGAAACAAAAGATTTCTTAAGAATATTCGTTTCTTACTTTTGAATGGGATTGATTTAAATAATAAAAATGCATTTAATTCATGATCTATCTAATTAAAGATATTCAGTATTTTCATAGAATTACGGTATGATTTTTTATTATTTATTTCATATTTTATAAAACTGAAATGAATTTTTCATTAGAAACTCAAGGATTTAACAGCGAGCAGTTTTAAGACTGTACGGAATAAAACATTTTTATCTCCAGCTCGCTAGACTGACTATCGGAAATTCTAAAGATTTGCTATTTTTAAATATTTTGCGAATTTGTTGCTGAATTGAATTTTATGTGGTGTAAGTGCGAAGAATGTGATATTTAATAAACAAAGTTAATACACAAAACGTTAATAATAAAAAAAAATCTGATGTGTACATCACATGACTTCCTTGTACGGAATATTAAATTATACGTAATTTTCTTGCATTTTATTTAAACATATTGAACTAACAGTTAACGAATTTTGAATTAAATCTACTTCGTCGATAGCGCATAAAACACAATAGAATAAATGCACTCTTTAAAGTTATACTTATTTACCATAGCCCACACTTCGGCGCTACGTTGACTTAGCAGCATTAGCATTCGTTTCATAACTCAGAGTGCACAAAAATTATATCATCTGAAGAATTACAAGTTCTATTAAAACACTATAACAAATCTAAAACTATGTATAAAAGAAATTAAGCAAATAAATAAAAATAAAAATAAAAGAAAATCTGAAATGTTTCAGATTTTAAATACGTCCAAAGGCGCGTTTTTTTAACATTTTGTGTGTTACTTTTATTTATTAAATATCACGTTCTTCTCACTTAAACCATAAAATTCAGTTCAACAGCAATATCGCAAAATAGCTTTAAAATGAGCATATCTCTAGAATTTCCGATACAGAGATTCACGCGGAGATAAAAATGTTCTTTCCTGTACAACGTTGCCATTGCTCGCTTTGAAATCCTTGAGTTTGTTAATCAAAAATTCTTTATTTTACAAAATAGGAAATCGATAATAAAACAAATTCCAAATTTCAAATTTGGTCTTCCACATGCCCATATTCGTAGGAGGATTACGTCATTCAAATTTCGATGGCTGCTCTATGTACCGTTGTTTTATCAGAATGCGAGAAATATACATACATTTATACAGATTTTTCATTCATAGTACTGAATTACATTCAGAGTAACATTTGACAATTGCAGTCTAGTGATTAGATTTATGAATGTGCATCACAAATAAATTTATTAGGTATAGAATGTTATGAACTACATGAAGGCTTTCAAACGAGGACATGTAGAAAAATTTATTCATTTCATAGCCCAAAGGGGCGGTAGCCCAGAAGGTTTATTAGTTTCGAAACGGCATTTGCTCATTTTATTCATGTCCGTTTCACTTTCAAATCGTTGCCACCAATTATTATCGCCCTGTATTATATTTAAAGAAATTAAATAATGAAGAATGTGTAAATATGCATTGTGGAAAAACAACGGTACCTAGAGCCATCAGATTTTGAATAACATAATCCTCCACAAGAATATGCACACCTAGACGTTCGAATTTCGAATTTGTTTTATTATCTATTTCAAACTTTGTAAAATGTTAACGAATTTTGGACTAATAAACTCTACGATTTCAAACCGAGCAATGGCAACAGTATACGGAAAATAACATTTTCATCTCCAGCGCGCGAGACTGTGTATCATCCTGTTTTTAAATATTTTGTGATATTGTTGTTAAATTGAATTTTATGTAGTTTAAGTGCGAAGAACATGATATTTAATAAAGAAAGGTAACACACAAAGCGTCGAAAAAAAGGTCCCTTTGGGGGGCGTTTAAAGCTTTCAGGTTTTATTTTATTTTTTCTTTCTTTATATATTATATTAACTGTTATAGTAACTGAAATGTATGCCAGACATAACCAAGTTATGGCTGTCTAGGCTCTTATGTGCAGAACGCGAGCTGCATGCGCCTAAATATGATTTTTTGCAATAAAGAGTAGCTTTATTTTTAAAATGCAATTAAATTTTAAAATTGTTTAAAGACGGTCTTCTTTTGCAGTCAGTAATGTAATTTCTCAAATTATAATATACATGTAGTAATTTAATGGATTTCAAACTGCGTCCATACGCTAACCAACACAGTAACACAAAAAGTGATAAATAATTTTGTTTATATACATTACTATTATTGTCATGATGCTTGGAACAGGTAAAGGCCATTGGGATAGCGCAAAAGACAATACGAAAACCATTAAAAAATAATGTATTATATTTTTAATAAAAACTTAAGGTTTATTTTATTTTAGGTAGCTTCTCCTTACAATTTTTCCGTACGCAAAGCAATAAAGCCATTGAACACTGGTACTTCAACCTAGGTTCAAATCTCTGCAAAGGGGCTGGTCGCATGGGAGTTTTCAAGGTTCCCCCTATGTCTAATACGAATTTGCGAAAGTTTTCCTTAAAATATTTTCCACTCTTTTCTATTCCGCAGAGAGTTCTTACGTCTTTTGCCATAATCGAAGTAATCCTACCCTGCTATATATACCTAAACTTTTAAATAGCAGCTATCCAGTATTCCGGAAGATTTGCTATTCTTCGTAGGATTTTATTCAGCACTCTGGAGGCTTGGGTAACGGCGAAACGCTTTCAGGAGAAAAGAAAACCGTTTCCACGCATGGGTTTTTTTAGTCTGGGTAAGAATATAAAGCCTCGTGGGCTTATGTGTAGATAAAACTCCATGAAATTTATAGAGCGTAAAAGAAAACTTCCCATTCGTATTTAGCCAGCAGATATGTCAAACCTTCCAATACACATG